TAGAGTTGAAATTAGGGTGTGTTAAGAGGTCTTGTTATGTTGAATTTTAACACGTTAGTGTTTTGATTGTAGGAGGAAGTGTGGAACACGTAGACAGAAACACATTCGTGTTTGGTGTTCTTTTACAACACATGTCAGAGAGCACGGGGAGAGATAATTAAAATAGTCATGAATGAAATAAGAATGTTAAGAGAAGTATAATTGTATATGTTACTTGCCATTTCATTGTGTAGTTTTCCTTCCAGATCTCTGGAAGGAACCAGAATTGAATAAAAGCTCCTGTTTAGATGCAGTACAGATGAAAAAAAATTGTTGTATATCCTGGGAGCTGCTATTGTAAAAAAAACAAATTTCTTTCTTTTAAATTTCTAGTTTCTAGCGAAGTATGTTTGTAAAAGATTGGCCTCGCGTTAGATTCTAGAGCTAAAAGTTTTCAACAAGGTCGTTTTAGACCTCAGTTTCAAACTAATTAACTCTGGCGGGAAGTATGTAAGGATCTTAAGTTTTACTAACGTTTATTTTATTTTAAATCTTTACTATCACTTCTTATTTTCTACTTCCGGCCAGAATTATAAGCGTTAAGGTTTTTATGCAAAGTTGTCTGGCGAACGCCAAGTATTTTAAGTTGTGGCTTTTTGCCAAGCGGGAGAGAGGAAGCAGTGAGTTCGAAGCAGGCCGCTTACCTTAGAAGTTACGCAGTTGCTTGTTGCCTTCCAGGCCAGAGGTTTTAATCCTCTTGATAACTTTTAAACGTATTGTAGTGTTCTCAGTTATCTACTACATACGCCTTCCTGTTAATATAAGGCCAATCTTCCACGTTTTATTATTCTGAAGTTAAATTAGAGTTTAGTTTTATTTTTATACTTTTACGTTAGACCCCGAGTAGCGGGTCAGTGTATTCCGAAGTACGGAAGTTATTGTATATAGAGAAAAATAAAGGGTTTTGTATACCCTTCGTCTGTATCCTGTCTACTTACCACAATTAGTGAACATAGCTTTAGTAAGCTCTCTGTTCCGAGTCAGGTCCTTGTATGTTCCCGAAGAAGGTAAGAAGGAACATTGACCCTGATAAGTTTAGTATGCATTCAAAAATACTAATCGAATTTAATTTAATTTCATTATTAAAATAAAATTTTTCAGATTAAAAGAAATTTCTGCTAAAATTATAGTTTAGTTACATAAATGAAGTGTCAAAGTTCTGTTATTTAGGGCTCCGGTTAGAATTACCATTTATCTAAAAAGTTAAGAAGTACGGACCCGGACTCCGGTGCAATTTGAGCTCTAGTAAAAGTTGTCTTTCACTTCACACAACCTGACTTACGAACAGTTTACTGTCTACTTGATGAGTACGAAAACTAAGATTAAAAATTCTTTACTTTATATGTCCTACCAGGATAATGCATATAGTTTCTGCTTTTTTTAATGCTCAATGCAGCGTCTCTTTTCCCCAAGTTGTTTATTTTATATTATTTGCTTGTTGAAGTTAGTCTGCGTGTGTAAAATATCTGCAAAAAGAATATGATCGAGACTGAGAAATATTTAGAAGAAATACGACAGTCAGTGTTTCCAGAATATTGGAACTCCGTGGAAAGAAGTTTAAATATTTCCTATCATAAGTAACACAAATTATCAAAATGACCTTTCTACTTTTAAATGAATGAAGTTTTCTGTGATTTTGTTTCAGAGATGTGGCAACACACGATTATTTTTATTATAATTGTGTTCTAAAGATGGAATAAGTGTGTTGTGTTTCCAGTTTGTACATTGGAGCAAAAGTAGAATATTTATGATATTTATTGTGTAGAGTTTTGATTTCCAGCCCATTCCACAAACAGGTGAACATAACATTTTTGGTGTTAGGAAGTGGAGTTAAGTGAAAATGTGGTGGTAATAATGTGTATCATCAAATTTTGTAAGAAAAAATAGTGTGGTGATATCGGAATATGCGTTGCGAGGAAATCAAAACTGAAGATGATGGTTCCATTGCGTAGACTAAGGTGAGTAGTTATTTCGGTTTGTTGAAATAATATTTAGTGTTAAATTCTGTTTATTAGGGTTGTGTATTGAGGTGTTTCTTCCTGCTAATTTAAGTTGATAATGTCTGTGTTGAGTTTGGTGTGTTCGGTTTTGTGCTCATTGTGTTCTAATTGTCAATTCAGGGTTGTTGTAATTTTCTTGAGTTAAGATGATTCTGAAGTAGCTTAAAAAAGACGAGTTGACGCTCGTGGCGGAGGAATTAGGATTAGTAATACCGAGCGGGGTGAAAATTGTTACTTTGAAAACTTTAATAGAAGGTTCAGAAGTTTATGCAAATGATGCGGAATTTGTGTAAAATGTTATTGATAATATTCTAGAGGAAAAGAAAATGCAAACTGAGAAACAAAAACTCGGGAAACGAAATTAGATTAGAGTTAGAGAAAACACAAATAAAGAAACAAAAATCGGAAAACAAAATTAGATTGCAGTTGTAGAGTCATTAGGTTAATTGGAAGCAGAAACGATGAAAAATATACAACCGCCTTCGCCGGGAATCGAACCACGGAACTCTGGAATACCGGCCCAGCGTGTTACCGTTACACCATGAAGGCACGCTAGGGAAGTGGGAGAAATATCTTATATACTCCCCTTTTTAAAGGGCGACTAGGGTTTTAGGGGACCTAGTGGGCAAATTCTGGGTGCGGAGAATCATCATTCACAACCCCTTTTAGTTCGGGCGCCATTTGTAGAGACATTAGGATTTTTTGGAGGCCGGAGGGATTGAAAAATATGCAACCGCCTTCGCCGGAAATCGAACTACGGACCTCTGGAATACCGGCCCAGCGTGCTACCGTTACACCACGAAGCCACGCTAGGGAAGTTGGAGAAATACCTTATACAGTTAGAAAAAATAAAACTTTCTCAGTTAGAGGAGGAATTATCTTTAGTTAACACTAAAAGAGACAATGCTGAGACGGACAACTCAAATCGAAATATGTAAAATTTGATTAAAAGTGTAAAAACATTAACAATTTGTGTACCTACTAAAGCAGAATCCTTTAATCTCTTTTTCCAATCAATTTAAAGGGCTTTTAGGACAAAACAAGTACCTGAAGATTTGAAAGCAGAAATCCTATTAAATATTTTGGGAGAGAAGGTCACTTATTTAATGGTATATGTCAAGGAAGAAGATGTTAATAATTACGATAAACTAAAGTCCGTAATTTTAAAGTAATTTCAGCCAACCCATCAAGAATGGTTAAATCATTTTCGTTCCACACAAAAATTGTCATCTTAGAATTTTGTACAATTTGCATCAAGGTTAAGAGCCAATTTTGAATATTATTGTCATTTGAGAAATGTAAAAGATTTTAAATCGTTATGTGATCTTATGGTTTCGGATAAAATATTCAGTGACCTTGATCGTGTATTAAAGACCCATATAGCAGTTGAGCAGGGAGACACATGGTTCGAACCCCAAACGTTAGGTCGTGAATTCGATATTTATTTGTCATCAAAAGGTAAACAGAAACTAGAATCAATTTTTGAAAAATCATTTACAGGTAAGAATAATAAAAGAGGCGATGGAAATAATTTTAATTAACTTCTTAATTATAATTACAAAAATATTTCTAATGTTTATGTATCTGGAGCAAAAGATTAAACATGAATTTTGTGAAAAACAAATCGAAGCCACTCGATAAAAAAGTTGAGAAAATGTTGAGTTGAAATAATTAAACGAAATAATCTTTGCTTCTGAGTGTAATGCAAAAAAAATTTAGAGCCATAAATTGTTTCTGTGGGAAAGCTCATCATTAGATGATTCATTTCTATAAGCAAAATAAAGCTAAACTAGAGAACGGTGGCGCCGAACAAACTCAATGCAATGCTTCAGTGTCAAGGCCAATACAAAAATCATCTGTGCTATTACTCACTTGCAGTGTATACGTTAACTCTATTGATAAAACAAAATTCAACAAAATTACGCGCATATTATGCGATAATGGCTCCGAAAGAAGCTGGTGTACGAAGTCCCTTGCCAATTGCTTAAGCAATTAGAAAGAAAAGACTGTCAGGTTTTTCCTTTGGCTCAGCAAGGCCTACTGAGAAATTAAGACTGCGAAGTAGTAGAATTAAAATACTAATTTTTAAGAGTGGTGGATTTAATTTGAGGAAATTTAGGTCGAACAGCAGAGAATTATAAAAATTGTGGATAGAAAATGGACTTAGTGACAGTGAGATAGTAAGAATTCAACAGCTGAAAGCCCTAGGGTTGAATTTGAATCCTGATAGAGAAAAGTTGTCGTTGAAGGGGAAGGGTTTGGTGGATTCGTGGAAAACGTTGCGACGCACTGAAAGATGTGTTTTACAGACAGCTGCAAGAATCTTTGATCCTATTGGTTTGATTGCGCAATTTGTGTTACTTATAATGTTATTGTTACAGAACATTTAAGAGAGAACGTGTGATTGAGTTGCCGGAGGATTTGCAGCGAAAGCAGCGTGGTGTAATGAAATTGAAAAATGAATAGACGTTACTATTCCGAGATATTGTTTTTTTTTAATTGTGAGAATGAGCAATCGGAAGTACATGTGTTTTGCGATGCTTCACCAAGTGCTTACGGAACTGTTGTTTATTTTAGATATTGTGAGAATAATGAGAGTTACAGAGTATTTTTTCTCGAAGAGTAGAATTTCACCGTTAAAGAAACTAACGCTGCCAATGGCCATGGTAATAGAGGCTAGAGTGGGAAATTACCTTAAAAGTGTTTTCAAGTCCGAGTCCAAGTGATTGGTATTATTGTCCGTCTGACGACAATCCCGCAGATTTGGTTACTAGAGGAATCTCGGCTGAGAAGTTAGTACTTAATGAAAAATGGTTATCAGGTTCAATTTGGCCTTCGGAAACGTTTTGAGAGTTGGCCTAAACAGTGGGTTAGAGGGTTACTAAATGTAGACAGAGCGAAAATACAAAGAGATCAAAGAAAAAAATTCAGTTTTGGAACAAATTTTAAATTTAGAGCAAGATGCAGAGAGTTGTTGCTTGGTGTTTAAGGTTTATAAGAAATGTGAGGGGGAATAGGATTTTAAGTCCCTTCTTAGAAACAAGCGAACTAAAAGAAGAGCATGATATTATAATCAAACTAGTCCAAAGAACTGAGTATAAAAAGGAAATAGCTACTTTAGAGAAAGCGAGAGTGTTAAAGAAAATTTCTTTAATTTCTCTAAACCTGTTTTTAGACAACAGTGGCGTACTACGTGTAGGAGGAAGTTTAAGAAATGCCAGCTTATTAGAATCTGTGAAACATCAAATAATATTGCCTAAGAATCATCCTGTTGCAAAATTATTAGTGCTATTTTATCATCTTAATTATATGCATGCTGGCGTACAATTAGTTAACTCTGCAATGAAACAAAAATATTGGATTATAGGAGCAAAAACTGCAATACGCAGAGAAATAAGGAAGTGCGTTATCTGTGCCAGATTTTGCTCTGAATTTTCGAAACAAATGATGGCTGACTTACCTTCTGAGAGAATGAATCCCGGAAGACCATTTCTTAGATCAGGAACTGATTTTCGAGACCTTCTTGATCAGCCCTAGACGTGCCAGAGGAGTTAAACAACTGAAAATGTACGTGTGTTTGTATGCTTTGCAACGAAAGCTGTCCGTTTAGAATTTGTTTGTGATCTTGGTGTCTAGGCATGTATTGCAGCTGTTAAACAATTCATCGGACAACGAGGAAAGCCAGCTGAAATATTCCCTGATTGTGGAACAAACTTTACCGGTGCAAAGAATTACTTAAAAACGTGTACGAAAGAGGCACTTGGTACTTACTTGACGAACGAAGGTGTTAAATGGACAATGGATGTTCCATCAGCCCCTCATTTTGGAGGCCTGTGGGAGGCTGCCGTTAAATCGATAAAGTTCCACATGAGACGAGCTATAGGATCGCACATCCTCTCACAAGAAGAATTTTTAACGTGTTTAGTGGAGCTTGAAGCCATTCTTAACACCCGTCCTTTAGTGCTTGCTTCTGAGGACCCAAATGATTTTTCTTTCATTACACCGGGTCACTTTATTATCCGGTTCGACTTAAAAAGTATTCCTGAGCCTGACGTTACAAATGAGAAAATTCCCATCCGTGAACGGTGGAAATTAATCATACAGATTTCCCAATCGTTTTGGAAATCATGGTCAAAAGACTACTTGTCTCAGTTACAAGTGCGCAACAAGTGGAAACTTCCAAGTGCCAATTTACGTGTGCTTAGTGCTAATCAAGGATGAGAACTTGCCGCCACTTAAGTGGAAGATGGGAAAAGTAAATTGCACTTACAAGGGAACTGACCACATAGTAAGGTCAGTCAACTTAAAAACTGTGGAGGGTGAAATGAAAAGACCAATACATAAACTGGTCAGACTTCCTATAAATGATTGATTGATTGATTGATTTCATGTTTTATAATTATACATACAGTTTCTTTGATTTTTATGTTGTTACATTATATTTCAGTTTATATTTCTAGTTGAGCTTATGACGGAGTCATGGGGGCCCAGTGTGTTACGCCATTCATTACTCGCCGAAAGAGCGCGCTTCTGCTATTCGTAAAAAGCTAAAATTAATTTATTTCTACTTTTAAATGAATGAAGTTTTCTATGATTTTGTTTCAGAGATGGGGTAACATGCCCTTATTTTTATAATAATTGTTTCCTAAAGATGGAATAAGTGTGTTGTGTTTCCAGTTTGTACGTTGGCGCAAAAGTAAAATATTTATGATAGTTATTGTGTAGAGTTTTGATTTTCAGCCCATTCCACAAAGAGGTGAACATAACAACTATAATGAATAAAAAAGGCATTTTTATTTAAATCGATCAGATTAGAAAATGAAAATTTTAAGAACTACGTTTATTATTATTTTATAAACTACTCTAAATCTCATAATTTGTTAATCAATAATGGATATTTTAAACTGGAAGATTAACATCTTACGCTTTTTCCGATTGGGAACGTTTTAGTGCGTGGAATTTAATATATCTTGTTTCCAACAAAGCAGCGTATTTCTGTTAAAATGCTGAATTTTCTGACTGAATTTGAAAGATAAATACCTTACGCTTTGCCGAGTGGCAGTACATTGCTTTATCTCCGAGTTTATTGATCAAAAATGCAGTCAGGCAATACAAAACAGGAAATAAATGAAAAGAAATGTGAAATTCAAAATTCGGGCGGGATGCTCATGTTCGGATAGAGGACTTATGAGTAAGTGAAAGGTTGTAAGTAAATCAGGTGGCTGTAGGTGCACACAAACATATTCCTTTAAAAAATAAAATATTATAAAATTATTTTATACAAATAATTTATAAAATTAAAACAAAAAGTCAAATTTTCAAACAACTTCACGCTACAAAAAATGTATTTTGTCTAAAACATATTTTTTTTTCTAAATATATTCATTTGACTATGTACCATGCTTTATATTTCTGCTTCCTAATAAATTGTTATGAAGCTGATTAAAAATCCCTTAAATAATGTAACGGTAATAAATTCAGGAAGCATTTTCCAGCTCAAATTTGCAGGATTAAATTCTGAAAAGAAAAAACAAATTAAAAGAAAGAAAAAAAACTGAAAGCTTTCAGACGCCCAAAGGGACCTTTTTTTTAATGTCTTGTGTGTTAACTTTATTTATTAAATTTCATGTTCTTCGCTCTTAAACAGCATACAATTGAATTCAACAGCAATATCGCAGAATATTTAAAAATAGCATATCTTTAGAATTTAGAACAGAAAGTGTCGCGCGCTGAAGATAAAAATGTGTCTTTTTGTGCAGTGTTGCCATTGCTCGTTTTGAAATGGTTGTATTTTTTAATCAAAAATCCTTTAAAGTTTTACAAATATGAAATAAATAATAAAACAAAGCAAAAATTCAAAATTCGGGCTTCAAGGTGCCCATGTTTGGGTAAACGATTACGCAATTCCAAATTTGATGGCTCTTGGTACCGTCGTTTTTTCACAATACGAAAAACAAACATGCATTTATGTAGATTCTTCATTATTTAATTTCTTCAAATATAATACAGGACGATAATATTTGTTGGCAACAGTTCGAAAAGCAATTCAACGCCAAATGCCATTTTAAGACTAATAGCCCTTCTGAGCTAAAGCTCAATCCATTTTGACTCCTTAATAAAGCTAGTTTTCTATAACTGGAATTTTGATTTCAGAGAGTCCTTGAAGAAGTTATGGTCGACATTTATTAGATAAAACTAAAATAATCTGAATCATATTCTTAGCTCTTTTGTACCGCGTGTAAAGAAAACGCCATTAACAATCATTAAATCGGCAATTACCTTCTTAATAAATCTCAAGAGCTTTATAATTTAGCTTAAAGAAGGTGCGCCATGTTTCCTGTACCCCTTACCGAGTAACTGAATATACACTCCAATTTTCTGGTTCTTCGTAGCACGCTTCAGGCAACTATCACGAAAATTAAGCTAGAAGTAACTTAAAAAATTCACTGTGAACGAACAAACTTGGAAGGAAGTTTTAGAAAACGAATTAACTCGTAACATGCGACTACTTTCAAATGCATACGTGATGAAATTGAATTCATCAGCCGCACCTTTCGTCACTTCCCTAGAAAGGAATTATGTTTAGTAGTTCTTTCCCCCGTGCACCCCCAACCACTTTTCTTCTTTAACCTCTGCATCATCAGTCAAAGGGTTCACGTTTCCCAACAAAATTCCTAACTTAGCAACATGCAGTTGTCCTACGTTACAGATAACTATTATCCTTAACTATTAGTATTCTAGTTTATGGCAAGGCAATTCATCGGCGGCTTTTACCATACTAAAGATACAACCTTGAATAAATATTAAAATGTAGTTTCTAAATAGTGCAAGTCTAAAATAATCACTCTGCACCGGGATACTGGTTTTCCTCAGAAGTGACACGAATCTGATCCTTGCATGTCACGAAAGCTTTAAATGAAGGGAAAAAGAAAAGAGGGAAATAGGGATATTTTTCTTTAACTGCATTATTCATTACATACCTTTCCAGTGATTAAAATATGCAACTGAATACATTCCTATGGAGCAATACAATAGATCATATCAAATTAATACAGATAACGCTATCAGTCGTATTTAGAAACTCAGAATTGAAAATAGAGGAAAAATAGCTGTTAACTGTAATTATTTCGGCAATTGGGACTTTTTTTTATTTGCGAACTGAATAGAATAGACAAGACCAATACACTGTCAGAACAAGCAGGAGCTGAAATACATCGCTTATCAGAGATCTTTATAGTAGCGTGCCAGTAAACGGAAACTTGTGATCAACTAAATGAAAGCAAATGCCATAATAATGTCCAACGGTAACGTTTCTGACATCCATACTGAAATTCTTATCTTTGAGAACAATAGTATCACCTTGTCTCGAAGTCGTTTCTGAAAGCGGATACTTGGAAGGCAAGTTAAGTATTAATTGCTTTATTAAGCATTACTCCAGCCAATTGAATTCATGTTAAAATTTTACTAATTTGTTTAAATTCTGAATGGCATAATTACCTACATAAAGAGAAAATAAATATTTTATGAGATTGGAAAATCTACGCAATATTTTTGCATTCATGGATTTTATTCTCTAAAATGTCATTTTATGATTATTAATTATCTGGAATTAGCAGTTCAATGTATGTCTTTTGTCAAGGAATTAAAAATTATGCAGAAGCTCTCGCATGCAACCATAATATTTACAACAAATAAAAAGTAGTGATACGTTATTATTTATTATTATTTTCTTAATTATTGTGTTAATTGTAATTAATGTTTTCTATTTCTGAACAGCTGTGTCTGCATTGGAATTACTTTTCAAATGTGTAATCTACCGTTTTAAATACAAATTTTCAAACCATCATATCATATGTTACTTCCCGCCTCAAACGCTGAGTTTTAATTCCATATAGCATATATTATTTCTGTTGATATATATGCATTTTTAGAATTTTCTTGCAGTACGTTAACAAGTTTTTGTTGCTAAACTATTTTAATAGTGTTACTGTATAGCCTAATAATTATAAAACTAAATAACAATGCTATAAGCATTTTCTCTAACACTTAAGTACTGCATTTTGTTGATGGAAATAGGACAGACGTGATAGAAATATTTATTGAAAGTATAGCTTGTGTCAGGGAGTCGGAGTTTTAAGCTAATATTTAGTAACAGAAAGAAAATGACAACTAATGTGAAGTCAAATTAGATAGCAAAACAAGGTTAGAAGAGCAAAAGGTCCATAACTAAGTTAGAATTTAGAAATTTGATAAGAAAGATCACAAAATTGATATACTTTCTTTTGTGTGAATATTATTCCAAGAGTTTTCTAACCACCACCATTTCATCCGCACTCAAATATGTACAGCATTTTACGACACTTTACTAGTATAATGTTTCCGTTTAATTCATTTGATTTGTGATTTATTTGATACCGTTTGAGTGCAAATAAACAGATGTGTTTCCTTTGTTCTTCTTTTTGAGACAAAGAGAGGTTAAGCTCTTTTGAGACTAAGAGAGGTTAAGCTATTTAGAGACTAAAAGAGGCTAATCTCTA